GAACATGAGTATGTTGCTTTGAATTTACTCAACTCAGTTAAGTGGAACCAGGTAACATAACATGGTTAAGTAAATCCAACATTACATTTTTAGAGTGTGTCTCACCAGTTTTAGCTACTGTTTTGCCAGTTTTAGCTATTGTTTACTGGTCTTGGCTTTCAGCCATTGTTTTGATCATTAAGTTATTGTTTTGCCAATTTTAGCTACTTTTCTACGTTTTAGATACTGTTTTACTGGCCTTAGCTTCGGATARTCATGGCCAGTTTAGCTTTTGGCTATTATTGACTGGCCTGAACTTTTAGCTAATGTTATACTTGTTGTAGCTTTAGCTACAGTTTTGCCACTTTTAACACTGTTTTTACTGATCTTGGCTTTTAGTTATTGTTTTGGTCATTTTGATTGATTGATTGATTGATTGATTGATTGATTGATTGATTGATTGATTGATTGATTGATTGATTGATTGATTGATTGATTGATTGATTGATTGATGCCTTTATTGTCATTGTACAGAGCACAATTAAATCACATAATTTTAGTTTTGACAGCTATACAACATTGACAACTCATATCTGCTTCATCAGTAGATAATTCAAAGGCACAGGACAGAGAATGCTTTTTGCCTCTCAGCCTGGAGAGGACTGAGTCTGATCAATATCTGTTAAGAGACACTCGCTTTGGCGCGCGCGTGTGTGTCTGTGTCTTTGTGTGTCTGTGTCTGTGTGTGTCTGTGTATGTGTGTGTCTGTGTGTGTCTGTGTATGTGTGTGTGTGGGGGGGGGGTGAACAGGGCGTGGATCTGATGCTTACACCGGAGGGAGCCACAGGAGCGCACAGACGGACCGGAGCGCAAAGACCTGCCGGACTGTGTGGAAGTTACTGAACACAATTCTTTGTGTCCAGACTCACACAGAGACTCACACGGACTCACACGGACTCACACAGACTCACACAGACTCACACAGGACTAACACAGGAGTAAAGTGATCAAACCCACGGAGAGGATGTGGAGTCTCACACTGCGCGCTCCGAGCCAGCTGCTGCAGCGGAGCAAGAGGAGAAAGTTTCTGCGGTGTCTCCCAGAGTAAAACAACTCATCCCAGCAGCAGCAGCAGCAGCAGCAGCAGCAGCAGCAGCAGCAGCAGGATCATGAGGTCTGATGTGCCATGTTTCCCTCACCGTGTCCTCCTGACCAGGACCCATGGGATGGAGTAAATGGAGAGCTGCGTTCATCTTTGGACCCCTGAAGGCGCAGTCCAAGCTGTCAGTCTTCTTTACCATGCTCCTTCTCTTCACCTACCTGTTCTACTGCCTCAACGGATATTGTGACTCCCTGCCCACACCCGTCTACTACGTCCACAGGACCGTGTCCCACGATGGGCTGCGGACCGAGCAGCCCGGCGCCCGCAACGTCTCCTCGGCCTCCTCGGTTCGGCAGCAGCCGCTGAACCGGTCCAGAAGCGCGGCTCAGTCCGCCGGCATTTCTATCGCGAACAGCTTCGGCAGCAAGAAGTTCCCTCAGGCCGTCATCATCGGGGTGAAGAAGGGCGGCACGCGGGCTCTGCTGGAGTTCCTGCGCGTGCACCCGGACGTGAGAGCCGTGGGCGCAGAGCCGCACTTCTTCGACCGCTTCTACGACAAGGGRCTGGAGTGGTACAGGTAGAGCTGCTTTCTTCGTTTTACTCCGAACATCTTTAAATACTAAAACTGAAAATGGTGTTTAAATAACTTTCTGCACCTGGTGAGTCAGATCAGCTTAAACAACGAGGTCAGATCTGTGGAAAAGTTATGAATATCTTACCTGTTGTAGATAGCTCAGTTTGGAGTTTCATTTTGACTGATGAGTTGGTCAGAGTGTGAATCACATTCTTAATAAAAGCTTATCTGAAAAAAATAATCATAGTGGTTCGTGCAAACACTGGGTCCTCTCATTGGAGACAGATTATATTGAGAAAATATACAATTTTCTACTTGCGATCACTAATTTGATACATGTTTGCAAAGATATGTAACTGCGATGACACTCACATGACATTCCAATCAATTCAGACACAAAAGTTTTCAATTACGTCTCAATTAGAATATAATTTTGTCTTTTTTTAATCTCTAATAACACATAATTTGATTTCATCCTCTTCCAAAGTTGTTTCACACTTTCTGAGTGAAGCTAAACTGACATGAGTTTGAGATGCTGGAGACTACCCTGAGTA